GACTAGCAATCCTGCTTCCTCCTGCTTGGAATGCTTGCTTTGGGGAGCCCTGAGCCACTGTGTGAGGACTCTAACTCCCCAGTGGAGACCGCTCCCACCGGAAGAGACTAGGCCCTGAGGCTACAGGGGGAGAAACAGGCCCAGCTGCCCAGCATCTCAGTGCAGCCCCCAGATGACACCTCCAGACCACAGCCAATGACTCACAGAAAGCCCAGCGGAATGGCTCTCCAGCTGAACAAGAAACATGGAATAACAGTTGTCATTTTAAGACATGAAACCCAAGTGCTTTGCTACACTTTCCTCTGTGAGCGAAAGGGCTCCTGTAACTTCATGGGAGAGCTCAGAGGTGGTGGGGTTGGTGGAGAACTTGTCACAAAGGGCAAGTCCTCTGCAGTGGCCATCCCCACACTCTCTAACCTTCTGGACAAAGAACGGGCCTCGGTCCGCCGCAGGCACCTACCAGGTCTGACCTAGGAAGACATGCGGAGGCTACCGCTGAGCAAGACTTGTGGTTTAGTTATTTTTGCACTGATTTTAAACAGGATTCCTCACTTTGAGAGGTTGCTTTGTATTGAGGATATGCTAGGCAGCCGCTTTAAGTATTTAACACTATTATATGGGGTTAAACAGCCTGCCCAAAACTCCTACGTTCCTGCATGACACAAAACAGATGACCTCTCTATAGCTAGGTGGCATATCAGGTAAAAATAGTCAAGAGTATAGGATCAAGATCAAGTTATCCCAAGTTGGGTTCTGCCACTTACCAACTGAGACCTCAGACAAGTTGTTTAAGCTCTCTAAATCTCAGTTTCACAGTTTGTACAATGGGGATGATGCCTCTTGTGTTGTAGGATTGTTATGAGGATTAAATAAGATCATCTTTGTAAAGCTCTTCAGCACAGAGCAGGTACATATACATACATACACACACACACACACACACGGAGCCAGAAGGAAAGGAGGTGAGGTGGCTGACAAGGCACCTTCAGAACTATAAAACGCCTATCTATAAAAAACATATAACAGGCATCTGTAAGCCAATAAAGGTATTCACTGATGAGAATTGCAGGCTAGAAACCTATAGTTTATAAACTCCATGGGAAGAGTTCCTGTCCATGTTTTTAAACAATCAGAAAGTTGTTACTGAGAGACACATTGTCACCAGGCACTATTCTGGAAGCTGGGGTATAAAAGGCAACAAAATTAAAAGCCCTCACCTCACAGAGCTTACCTTCTAGCTGGAGAAGTTAAACAAGATCAATAAGGAAGTATGTTGGCTAATGATAAGAGTCAGTGAGAAAAAAAATGAAGTGAGGAAAGGAACAGGAACACCAGGGATGCAGCTGAAATTTTTAGATAGATTGACCCTAAAAATCCTCACTGTGCACGTGACATTTCACCGCCGAGGGAGAGAAGACAGACGGTGAGCCGGTGTAAGGAGAGGAGCACAGAACAAGCACTGCAGGCAGAAAAGGGCATCTCCCTGGTCAAGACCAGCAAGCAGATCCCTGTGACGCGAGTGGAAACGGGGAGGCGGCTGGAGCTGAGGTCAGGGGTCACAGGGACCAGATCTTGCTGAATGAAATGCATTTTGTTCGAGATGTCACAGGAAGACAGGGCTTTGTGATGGTATGCGTCAACATGACCAAGTCACACAGCGTGACAGTGTGCCGAGATCCGGTCAAATACCCTGAGTGCTTCTGTGCGATGTTTCTGGGTGAGATTAACATTTGAATTGGGAGACCGAGTAAAATAAATTGCCCCCCATCATGTGGGTGGCCCCCATCCAATCGGCTGGAACAGGGCACCTCCTAGTCCACGGGCCTTTGGCCATGGACTAGCACAGGGGTGGGCAAACTTTTTGACTCGAGGGCCACAATGGGTTCTTAAACTGGACCGGAGGGCTGGAACAAAAGCATGGATGGAGTGTTTGTGTGAACTAATATAAATTGAAAGTAAACATCATTACATAAAAGGGTATGGTCTTTTTTTTTTTTTTTTAGTTTTATTCATTTCAAACGGGCCAGATCCAGCCCGCGGGCCGTAGTTTGCCCATGACTGGACTAGCATCACACCATCACCTCTTGGCATCTCCAGCTTACTGCCTGCACGTCTTGGGACTGCTCAGCCTCCAATCACATGAGCCAAACCTCCTATAATATATGCACATGTATGTGTGTGTTATGTGTATATGGATGTATATCAGTTCTGTTCCCCTGGAGAACTGTGTCTAGCCAGTTCTCAGGAGGAGTGACTTACTGGGTCTCTTGGGGTAAATAGGTCGAGTAAGGTGAGGACTTCCAGCTGACCACTGGTTTAGCAATATGGAGGTCACTGGTGACCTTATGAAAGATTCCGGAGAAGCAGGGGGAAAGCCTGAGGGGCATGTGTTCAAGAGAGAAAAGAAATAGAAAGCAGGATATAGACAGTTACCAAGAGGGATTTTTAAAACAAGGGAGAAATAACAGCCTATTTGTATGGTGTTGAGAATACAACAGAGAAGAAAAGTTCAATGAGACAAATAAAGGGTGAAAGAGTGATATCTTCGAGTAGACAGAAGGCAACAGGGTCTAATGCGCATGCAGAGTCGGCCTCAGCTGGAAGCATAAACAGCTACAGGAGATCAGGCAGAGGATTAGGCACAGAAGTGGAGGGGGCGCAGAGGTGGGAAGGGGGCGCGGAGGTGGGAAGGGGGCGTGGATGGCAGCGGGAGCCTGTGGAAGTTTCCTCCCAATTGCTGCCATGTCCCCCAGTGAAATAAAGGATGTGGAGAGAAGAACTGAAGGTTTAAGTGAGATATTTAAATGCTGTCAAGGTGAATAAGTGCAGCAGTGAAACAGAATGTGGTAGATGGGCTGCCTGACTTTGGTGATCACCACTTCACAGTCAGCATGGTTTCTCCAGCCACAGTCAGCTGTACACACGCCAGTCGAGGCAAAGACTAAGCAAAGGCTGGATTAACAGGCTGTAACAGATGCAGTCCATGCACCTCCCCCAGATCCACTCAACTTGCCTGCTGCTCTGCTGCCCAGCTGGAGCAGCCCCCCAAGGCCTAGCAAAAGCTCACGAGCCCGCATGATCATAAGCCCAGCCCACCACATGTGCCTCCTCTCCTGTGCCACCAGCTGTCTCGGGCTCCCCCAGGGGAGAAGGCTGGGCTCTGGTGGCCTTCCTTGTGCCCACTATGGCAGAAGCCACAGCAGCTCCAATGCTCAAATTCAGCTGCTTCTCCAGCAGCTGCCTAGAGAGGCCAAGTGACAAACCCCAAAGCACAGAAAAGTTAAGACTGTGGGCACCTTTGACCCTTAAGCGACAAGAAGTGGGAAGGAACCAACAAATTTCTCAGCTGTCCCCCTCACATACCTACCCCGGGAGTGTCCTGGAATTCTTATATGCTGCTAGTAGGAATGTACAATTTGGGAGTTTATAGCTTCTTAAAAAATTAAGCATACAACTACTATATGATTCCATTCCTGAGTATTTACTCAAGAGAAAAGGAAATGTATGGTCACGCAGATTGTACAGAGATATTCATAGCAGCTTTATTTGTTGTAACCAGACAATAGAAATAACCCTAATATCCAACAAGAGGTAAATGAATAAAAAAAATTCTGGTGTACCCATACATTGTAACACTCTGCTCAGCAACAAAAAGGGAAAATCAATTGATACATGTACAGTGAAGGGAGTCTCAAAATAACTATACTAAATGAAAGAAGCCAGACAAGTAGTACATAATTTAAGATTCCATTTATATAAAGCTCTAGAGACAACGCAAACTAATCTATAGCGAGAGGAAGCAGATAGATCAGTGGCTGCTTGGGAGGAGCATATAGGAGGAATTACAAGAGGACACGAGAAAACTTTTGGGAGTGATGGATATATTCAGTATTTTATAGTGATAATTTCACAGGTGTCAAAACTAATCTTCTATAACAATAAAAGTATAATATGCTAATTAGACCAGATGTCCTTCCTGATGACCTTCCGGACAAAGCCGGGGCTATGAGGGAAGCCTGGGTCCTGGGTGCCTGCCGGCGGCCAGAGAGAAGCTTGTGCCGGCAGCTGGGGGAAGGAAGGCCTACTCTTGCACGAATTTCATGCATTGGGCCTCTAGTCAAACTATAAACTTTAAATATGACAGTCTATTGAATGTCAATTATACCTCAACAAAGCTTTCTTTTAATGCAACATATGAATCATGTTTGAATCCTGATCTAAACAAACCGACTATTTAAAAATAGCAGACTGGAGCCTGGCCAGCATAGTTCAGTGGTTAAGCATCAACCTATGAACCGGGAGGTCACATTCGATACCGGTCGGGGCACATGCCCAGTTTGCGGGCTCGTTCCTGAGTAAGGGGTGTGCCGGAGGCAGCCAATCCATGATTCTCTCTCATCACTGATGTTTCTCTCTGCCTCTCCCTTCCTCTCTCTTACATCAATATAAATATATTTAAAACATTTTTTTAAATTAAAAAAAAGTTCACTGGAGTATTAATTACACTAGGGCAGAGGTCGGCAAACCGTGGCTCGCGAGCCACATGCGGCTCTTTGGCCCCTTGAGTGTGGCTCTTCCACAAAATACCACGTGCGGGCACACACGTACAGTGCAATTGAAACTTCGTGGCCCATGCGCAGAAGTCGGTTTTCGGCCTGGGCAAGTCTATTTTGAAGAAGTGGTATTAGAAGAAGTGGGGGGTGGACACAGAGAGAGGATGAACGGAAGGAGATGGACGGAACAAGTGTGCAAGACGAGTGTGGATGGGAGAGGTGGAAGGGGTCGACCTCAGCAAACGTACCTCAATCAGATTGAGGACGTTTTTAGCAAAGGCCAGCTTAGGGGTCCCCTAATTAAGTTAATAACAATGTACCTACCTATATAGTTTAAGTTTAAAAAATTTGGCTCTCAAAAGAAATTTCAATCGTTGTACTGTTGCTATTTGGCTCTGCTGACTAATGAGTTTGCCGACCACTGGGCTAGGGGATAAATATTAACTTTATTTTATGGAGCGCTTCACGAATATGCATGTCATCCTTGCCAGGGGCCATGCTAATCTTCTCTGCACCATTCCAATTTTAATGTACATGCTGCCAAAGCGAGCACAATATTACTTTTATTTAACTGTGATGTTTGTGCTTAGATTTTTTGTTAATGTTCATTTTTATATAAGACTTTATTTTTTAGAGCAATTTCAGGTTTATAGCAAAATCGAGTAAGGCAGAAAGATTTCCCATATATCCTCTGCCCCCAGACATGGACAGTCTCACTCATTACCAACACCCCTCACCAGAATGCAACATTTCCCACAAATGAGGAACCTACACTGATACATCATAATCACACAAAGCCTACAGCATACAGTAGCATTCACTTTTGGTGTTGTACATGCTATGGGTTTGGACAAATAAATAATGCCATGTATCCCATCACTATAGCATCCATCCATCATACAGAGTATTTTCACTGCCCTGAAATTCCTCTGTGCTCCACCCATACATCCCTCCCTCCTACTCTAAACCCTGGCAACCACTGATCTTTTCACTGCCCACATAGTTTTGCCTTTTTCAGAATGTCATATAGCTGGAATCATACAGTATGTAGCTAGATTGTTAAGTTGTATACTTAGAGATGGATAGGTAGGTATCAAGATAATCCTCGAGAAGGTAACATCTGAGCAAAGATTTGAAAGAAGTGAAGGAGATAGTCAGAAAAGTAATGCAAGACCAGGCCTGCAGGGGAGGACAGTTGTGGGGGACCAGCCCTGCAAGGCTGGCAGGGGAGGGCAGTTAGGGGCAACCAGGCCGGCAGGGGAGGGCAGTTGGGGGTGACCAGGCTGGCAGGGGAGGGCAGTTGGAGGAGACCGGGCTAGCAGGGTAGGGCAGTTGGGGGCGATTGGGCCAGCAGGGGAGGGCAGTTGGGGGCAACTGTGCCAGCAGGGGAGCAGTTAGGCATCGATCAGGCTGGCAGGGGAGTGGTTAGGGGGTGATCAGGCTGGCAGGCAAAAGCAGTTAGGGGCAATCAGGCAGGCAAGCGGTTGGGAGCCAGCAGTCCCGGATTGTGAGAGGGATGTCCGACTGCTGGTTTAGGCCTGATCCCCCGAGGGGTCCCAGACTGGAGAGGGTGCATGAGTTTTGTGCACCGGGCCTCTAGTATCCTGTAACAGGAAAATCTGTGTTCTTAAATCACCAGCAGTATACGCAGTCCACCATTTCCTCACATGAGTTCCTAAAAACACGTACAAAACTGGAATATGTTGCCTGGCCAGCATGGCTCAGGGACTGAGCAGCTACCTATGAACCAGGAGGCTGAGGTTCAATTCCAGGTCAGGGCACATGCCCGGGGGGGGGGGGGGGGGGGGGGGAGCCAGTCAATGCTTCTCTCTTCTCGCTGATGTTTTTGTTCCTCTCTCCCTCTCCCTTTCTCTCTCTGAAATCAATAATATTTTTTTAAAAAGCAAGGCAACAGACATGTATTAAGGGTAATTATGTTCCTGAAAAGCTAAAAACTGTAAAACAATTACATCGCGTCTTGCTTTTCCAGGGTATAGTTCCAATTTCATACACGTTCTTAAACTGCTTTTTTTTCCCTTCACAATTAAACAGTCAACCAACAAATGTGTCCAACAGAGGTAGGAACAGCATGCTTTTAGAATGTTGAATTAATCATTGTTAGCTCCGTCTCAACTGCATTAAAGTCTGTAGAACCTACACTTCCCTTTGCCACTGCCACTTGCTCTTAATAAGGCAGAAAAGTGTCATTTTAAAATTTTTTACATCAATAAGACTCTTACTTTAAAAATTATCTAGAAACTCAACAGGCTAGACTAAATAAAAGCTCAGCTATTCTAGTTTACACCTGCTTTAGCAGGGTAAGGGGCCTGCATCCCCACCCCTTACCTCTCAGCTCTGCTGACAGTGGTGTGCAAAAAACGGCAACGCCATGGAAACGGACCTGTTGCTAAGCAAGCAGAACACCAAGCAAGGCTCAAAACCATAGTCCACCAGTTGATACATAAAACTCTGACTCAGTCTAGAGCATCAATATATGGCATATAAAAAGCGCCAGATGTTCAAAAATAAAAAGGCATCTAGCTGAAAATGACTAGAAAATAACAGAAATTTCTATAAGAAATACTTCAACAGGAAATACATACACATTCAAACACACAAATACTCATTTTACTACACTGCAGCAAGATGGAGGTCCAAGGCAGTCCAAGAACGAAACATTTCCATTAAATTACACTTTTCGCAGAAGTACATTAATTAGAAGTAATAATTTTTAAATAATTTACTTTTTAAAGAATAGTTAATTAATTTTTTAAATACTATCCTCCTTTGGAAAATTCTAGGCTAAAATTATCAGATTTCAATGAGTGGGGTAGATCAGACTGAGCACTGCATCACAAATACTGAAATGATCAGTGGCTATATAAAAACATAAAATGTGCCCTAGCCGGTTTGGCTCAGTGGATAGTGTCGGCCTGTGAACTGAAAGGTCCCAGGTTCGATTCAGGTCAAGGGCACATGCCCGGGTTGTGGATCCACAGTGGGGGGCTTGTAGGAGGCAGCCGGTAAATGATTCTCTCTCATCATTGATGTTTCTATCTCTCTCTCCCTCTTCCTTCCTCTCTGAAATCAATAAAAATATATTTTTAAAAAAAACACATAAAATGTGAGCCTTAGCTGGAGTGGTTCAGTGGTTAGAGCATCACCCCAGGAACCGAAGGGTCGAGGATTCGATTACAGATCAAGGGCATGTACATGGGTTGCAGGCTCAATCCCCAGCCCCAGGTGGTATGCATGAGGGAAGCAACCAGTCAATGTGTCTCTCCCCTTCTCTCTTCTTCTCTCTTTCCCCCTCCACCCCCCTCACTTCCACTCCCTCTAAAAAAAGGAAAAAATATTCTCGAGTGAGAATTAACAACAAAAAAAGCTTGGGACCTGGCTGGCTCAGTTGGCTGAGTGTCATCCCATATACGAAAGGTTGCCGGTTCAATTACCGGGCAGGGCACATACCCGGGTTACAGGTTCAATCCTGATGGGGCATGGGAGGCAGTCAATCGATGTTTCTCTCTCACATCTATGTTTCTCTCTCTGCCTTCCTCTCTCTCTAAAATCAATAAAAACATATCCTTGGGTGAGGATAAAAAAACAAAAAACTTAAAACAAACCTTGGTATTCTAGTTTCAAAAAGCATTATTATTCTATTTACAGAATGTCCCCGTGAACATACAACCCACATTTGAGAAACTTAAAAGACGTAACAACTTTAAGGAAAAACAAATAGGTTAGAGGTAACATAAATACATATCACACCTACATCCATTCTGAAGACTCTGACCTCCTCACCGACTTCCTCTACTCTTTACCCTCCACAGCATTTACACTTGTGAATCTCTTGTTCATATAATTCTTTTTTGTCATCTGCTTCTCAGAGGATACAAACGAATGATCACAGGAATAACATCAATCACCTTCAAAGCAGGAAGGAGAGAGTGAAGGAATCAGCTTCAGCTGCACTTGAAGCAAATATGGCCAAATAGTAAGTGTTTCATCACATTGGTGGCCACAGAACTGTATGTGTTATTTTCTGTTCTATTTGAACATTTTTTAAATATTTTTTTATGGTCCTAACCGGTTTGGCTCATTGGATAGAGCCTCGGCCTGCATACTGGGGGGTCCCGGGTTCGATTCTGGTTAACAGCATGTACCTTGGTTTCGGGCACATCCCCAGTAGGGGGTGTGCCGGAGGCAGCTGATCGATGTTTCTCTCTCATCGATGTTTCTAACTCTCTATCCCTCTCCCTTCCTTTCTGTAAAAAAATCAATAAAATATATTTTTTTTAAATATTTTTTTATGGATTTCAGAGAGGATGGGATAGGGAAAGATAGAAACATAATGATGTGAGAGAATCATTGGTCAGCTGCTGCCTGCATCAATGTGCCTCTCTCACATCGATGTTTCACTCTCTGTCTCTCTCTCCCCCCTTCCTCCCTCCCTCCCACTTGCTCTAAAAATCAATGGAAAAAAATCCCTGGGTAAGAATGAACCAATAAGTAAATAAATAAATTTATGAACACATATTATTGTTCCCAATTACTGCTCCCAGTACCAAGGCTCTGAAACATCTAGCAATGAAAGATTAAAGTTTGCCCTCATCATGGCCTCAAGTCTCCCTTGAAATATTTTTAATACTTAGATACTGAAAGATAGACATACAAGTCACTTTATCCCTCTAGGTCTCATTTTCCATGTCTAGAGCTCAAGAAGGTTGGATTATATGGACATTATAATTTTCTCTCTCAATACTTTGAGGAGAGGAATCGAGAAATTTCAGAGTTGGGTCTGGCGTGCAATTTTTATTAAGATCCACACATTTAAAGAAATTGACTAATTTGAAAAAGTAGTTTTAGGGTTTTAATAACTTTAATGTTATTTTATGTTATTTTAAAAATATTTATTTCTCTCAAACATTTTAGCAAAACACTTGCCACCTTACACCAACTTTAAAATATTATGCATAAAAGTCAACCAGAGATTTAGCTTCTAGAACACAAAACAAAATTGATATATTGCAATTTTGCCCCTCCCTATCATTTCTAGGATCACAATATTTTCCACAATTGCTATTTAGCGCTGCAAGAATTAAGTCAGTCCAAATCATGAAGTCAGCATTCGATTCATAATCCCTACCTTCCTCAGACTTTTACTGTGCTGCTAGAGTAGCTCTCACCAGAAAGTGATTTCAAGTTCTCTATTGTTTTGGTTTGTTTTTAATTTATTTTAGAGAGAAACAGAAGGACAGACATGATTTCTCTGTTTTGAATATAAACACTAATGTATTACACACTCCATAGCAAGCATCATTGTTTTCCATTAGAATTAGGGAACAAAAGAGAAACCTTATTTCTTAGAAAATGAGTAAGAGTAAGCCTAAATTTCTTCAGTACAAATGACCCTTAACATTGCTTTTATTTCTTTATTATTAAATACTAGAGTCCCGGTGCACAAATTTGTGCACAACCGGGGGAGGGTCCGAGGACGGCTGGCTGGCTGGCCCCACCCGCTGGTGGAATGGACAATTTGCATATCAGCCTTTT